AGATCAGATCTGCCTGGTGCCTCGCTCCTCTGAACCCGCCACCAGCCTTCGAAAGTTGCGACGGTTTCGCAGATCGCGGCCCCCCAAGGACGGTGAGGCCCTGCTCAGATCTGCGCGGTGCCTCACTCCGTTGGACCCACCAGCAGCCCTCGAAAGTGGCGACAGTTTCGCAGATCGCAGCCCCCCAGGCACGGCGAGGTCCCGCTCAGATCTGCGCGGTGCCTTTCCCCGCAGGACCCACCAGCAGCCCTCGAAATTTGCGACAGCTTCGCAGATCGCAGTCCCTCAGGGACGGCAGGGTCCCGCTCAGATCTGCGCGGTGCCTTACCCCGCTGGACCCACCAGCAGCCCTCGAAAGTGGCGACAGTTTCGCAGATCGCAGCCCCCCAGGGACGGCGAGGTCCCGCTCAGATCTGCGCGGTGCTTTACTCCGCTGGACCCGACAGCAGCCTTCGAAAGTGGCGACAGTTCCGCAGATCGCTACGCTGGCCCCCCCACCAGCCTTCGAAAGTTGCGACGGTTTCGCAGATCGCAGCCCCCCAAGGACGGCGAGGTCCCGCTCAGATCTGCGCGGTGCTTCGCTCCGCTGGACCCACCAGCAGCCCTCGAAAGTGGCGACAGTTTCGCAGACCGCAGGCCCCCCAGGCACGGCGAGGTACCGCTCAGATCTGCGCGGTGCCTCACTCCGCTGGACCCACCAGCAGCATTCGAAAGTGGCGACAGTTTCGCAGATCGGGCAGCCCGCCCCCCAGGACGGCGAGTTCGGTCACATCCGCGCGGTGCCTCACTCCGCAGAACCGACCAGCAGCCCTCGAAATGGCGACAGTTCGCAGATCGCATCCCCCAGGCACGGCGAGGTCCCGCTCAGATTTGGCGCGTGCCTCATTCCGCTGGAACCCACCAGAGCCTTCGAAAGTGGCGACAGTTTCGCAGATCGCAGCCCCCCAGGGACTGCGAGGTACCGCTCAATCTGCGCGGTGCCTCACTCCGCAGTGACCGCCCACCGCAGAGCAGCCTTCGGCGGTTGCGACGGTTTCGCAGATCGCAGCCCCCCAGGCCCGCCCAGGGGACGGCGAGGTCCCGCTCAGATCTGCGCGGTGCTTCCAATCTGTCAGTGCTGGGCCTCCCAGCCGCTCACGAAAGTGGCGACAGTTTCGCAGATCGCAGCCCGCCCCCCAGGGACGGCGAGGTCCCGCTCAGATCCGCGCGGTGCCTCACTCCGCTGGACCCACCAGCAGCCCTCGACAGTGGCGACAGTTTCGCAGATCGCAGCCCCCCAGGGACGGCGAGGTCCCGCTCAGATCTGCGCGGTGCCTCACTCCGCAGGTCCCACCAGCAGCCTTCGAAGTGGCGACGGTTTTCCGCAGATCGCAGCCCCCTAACCCCAGGGACGGCGAGGGTCCCCTCAGATCTGCGCGGTGCCTCATATCGCGCGGACCCCGACCCGAGGCCCTCGAAAGTGGCGACAGTTTCGGCAATCGCACAATCGGCAGCCCCCCAGGGACGGCTAGGTCCCGCTCCAGGGACGGCGGTGCCTCACTGCCGCTGGCCGCCACCGCAGCCCTCGGAAGTGGCGACAGTTTCGCAGATCGCAGCCCCCCAGGCACGGCGAGGTCTTGCTCAGATCCGCGCGGTGCCTCACTCCGCTGGACCCACCAGCAGCCCTCGGAAGTGGCGACAGTTTTGCAAATCGCAGCCCCCCCAGGCACGGCGAGGTCTTGCTCAGATCCGCGCGGTGCCTCACTCCGCTGGACCCACCAGCAGCCCTCGAAAGTGGCGACAGTTTCGCAGATCGCAGCCCCCCAAGGGACGGCGAGGTCTACCTTAGGTCCGCGCGGTGCCCCACTCCGCTGGACCCACCAGCAGCCCTCGAAAGTGGCGACAGTTTCGCAGATCGCAGCCCCCCAGGGGCGGCGAGGTCCCGCTCAGGTCCGCGCGGTGCCTCACTCCGCAAGACCCACCAGCAGCCCTCGAAAGTGGCAACAGTTTCGCAGATCGCAGCCCCCCAGGGACGGCGAGGTCCCGCTCAGATCCCGCGCGGGCTCCTCCGAGGACCCCCCAGCAGCCCTCGAAAGTGGCGACAGTTTCGCTGATCGCAGCCCCCCAGGGACGGCGAGGTCCCGCTCAGATCTGCGCGGTGCCTCACTCCGCAGGACCCACCAGCAGCCCTCGAAAGTGGCGACAGCTTCGCAGATCGCAGCCCCCCAGGGACGGCGAGGTCTACCTCAGATCCGCGCGGTGCCTCACTCCGCAAGACCCACCAACACCCTCGAAAGTGGCGTCAGTTTCGCAGATCGCAGAATCGCAGCCCCCCAGGGTACGGCGAGGTCCTGCCGGTCACATCCGCGCGTGCCTCACTCCGCAAGACCCCCAGCAGCCTTCGAATGTGCGACAGTCTCGAATGTGCGACAGTGTCGCAGATATCGCAGCACCCGAAAACAGGGACGGCGGAGGGGGCCCCTCAAGATCCGCGGCGGTGCTCACTCCGCAGGACCCACCAGCAGCCTTCGAAAGTGGCGACATTTTCGCAGATCGCAGCCCCCCAGGGACGGCGAGGTCCCGGTCACATCCGCGCGGTGCCTCACTCCGCAGGACCCGCAGCCCTCGAAAGTGGCGACTGTGTCGCAGATCGCAGCCCGTGTCGCAGATCGCAGCCCCCCAGGGACGGCGAGGTCCCGCTCAGATCCGCGCGGTGCCTCACTCCGCAGGACCCACCAGCAGCCCTCGAAAGTGGCGACAGTGTCGCAGATCGCAGCCCCCCAGGGACGGCGAGGTCCCGCTCAGATCCGCGCGGTGCCTCACTCCGCAGGACCCACCAGCAGCCCTCGAAAGTGGCGACAGTTTCGCAGGTCGCAGCCCCCCAGGGACGGCGAGGTCCCGCTCAGATCCGCGCGGCGCCTCACTCCGCAGGACCCACCAGCAGCCCTCGAAAGTGGCGACAGTTTCGCAGGTCGCAGCCCCCCAGGGACTGCGACCACAGGGGGGGGCGGGAGAAGGACGCGACCACACCCCTCTATTCAAAACGAATACCCAACCAAGGAGGGTTGGGAAAAAGAGGAATTCCAGAGATTCTCTTTTTTCCAAGGTCAACACCTGTGCCCCCCCCCTGTTCCCGAGAGTCCCACACACACCCAGAACATCTGCGGAACGCTCCTGGTACCGCGCGTTCCGGCCCCAGGGGACCCCCAAAACACCCAAGGACAGCCCAAGACGACCCCAAGAAGCTTCCGGAACGCAAAAGAACGGCCCAAGACGCCCCCAAGCAACCCAAAATAGCCTTCGGGCGGCTCTCCAGGCTCCCAGAAAGCTTCCAAGAGACCTCAAGAGAGCTCCGAGAGGCCTCCCGAGAGCGCCCGGAGAATCTAACATCGTTACTTGTCACTGGTGTTTTTTGTAGGTTTTTGGCCTTCTCACCACTTCATGTTTTCAACGCTCCAAGACGGCCGAAGAGCCTCCTGAGACCGCCCCAAGACCGCCCAAGAGTCCCCCGAGCTGGCCCCAAGACGGGCCAAGAAGGCCCCAAGACTGCCGAAGAGGGGCCCAGGACAGCCCCAGACCTTTCAGAACACTCCCAAGATGGGCACAAGAGCGGGAGCAGGAGGCCTCCAGAGACCTCCGAGAGGCCTCCAGAACCTCCCAGAGACACCCAACATACCCCAGAGTCCTGAGAAGCCCCGAAAAAGCCCCGACGAGGTCCCAGACATAGCCCAAAAGAGCTTCGAGAGCCGTCCTGGGAGAGCCCGAAGAGGGTAAAATCATTGATATCCGTTGTTTTTAACGTTGTTCGCTTTCTCACGGTTTCCTGCTTCCAAAATTCAAAAACCGAGGAACTTGGAGAGAAGAAAAAGAAATTCCAGAGATTTCCCTCTCTTTTTCCAACTTGGAACTCCTACTCCCTATCCTCTTCCTCGAGCCCCATGAAGACTTCGGGGTCACATGCAAAGATAATTCGAGAATACTGTTGAACTCTCTGACGCTGTCTTGGCACTCTCTTGGATCGTCTTCGCGTCCTTTTGGCTGCCCCTGAAACCACCGTAGAAATCGAGACCCCATGATCCCATGAGTTGGAAAAATAAAAATATGTTTTTCAAACGCACCCCCTGCATATATTTGCACGAAGGCCCCGAGAGGCATCCCAACACACCGTGGCCTGAATCCGGAAAACTTCAAACCAACAGCCCAGGCACGGCAACTTGACAACAACAAAAAAGGAAATCCCATTTTCCTTTTTTTTCAAGTTCGCCCCCCCCCCCCCTGTCTACTTGCACAACAGACCACAATTAAGGCCGCCCTCAGCTCCCAGAAAAGAAACCAGGAAGCCTTTGAGAGCCCCAAATCGTTGAACGCCTAACGGAAATCAATGATTTCCGCATTTCCGCAGTTCCCCTGCCATACGGTTCCGAGGCTTGCGCCGGGTCTCCAAGAGAGCCCCTGGATGCAAGAAGCGACAAACATGTAATTCCATGAGTTAGCCTATCAAGCCTAGCCAGAATTGGAGCGCGCGCGATGGTTCTAGTACAGATATGTATGTATGTATGTATGTATATATATATATATACACACATCAACCTATATATAAATATATACACACACATACATACACGTAGATACGCAGATACACACATGCATGCATAGACAGGTCACAAAAATGTACGTGCACCTGTACATGGACATGTCTACCTGTACCCTACCTATACATAGACAGTTGGGTATTCGTGTTCGGCTAGACATAGACATACACATATACAAGCACAAACACCCGATCATAAAAAAATGATGCTAAACACACACACACACACACACACACACACACACACACACACACACACGCACATACGCAGACATATATTATATATATATATTATATATATATATATATATACATCTATACATATACATACATACAGTCTCATAACTGTACATATATATATATATATATATATATAGAAATACATTCCGCTGCTGCCGAATGCGCCGAGGAGCTGGCCGCGGCGTGCGAGGGCCCGGGGCTGTGCGACTTCTGCGACGTGGAGCGACTGACCTGCGCGGGGCCCTTGGCTTGCCCTCCCTTTATGTGGGCGGCCGCCGACGGCCAGCCTCCGGCCGGGACGCGCCCGCGGCGATCGACGAGGGCGATGTCGGCAACGGAACATGCGCAAGAACATGCGCCGCCTCCGTAAAGGCCTCCACCCTGATAAAGACGGGGTGTCTGTCGAGATTGACGAATTCATCCCGCTGTTATAAACTACAGGCCCATTTGGCGGCACGGAGGGTCGGGGCTGGCCGCGCCATGCCTCGGACGATGGATGGCCACCTCAGGTCCGTGATTGTGACGAGACCCCAGGATGGCCGTGTGGTTTCCCCTGCTGTGCTAGGCCGATGTGCGTTGAGCCCCCTCAGTGCGCTGCTGGCAAAAAAAAAAAAAAGAGGAGGAGTAGGAGGAGGGAGGACCAGTGCAAACCTAAGACGCATCAGCGACGCTGCAATAATCCCTCCCCCGAAGCTCCCTCTTCATAGGGCCTTACAAGATTCATTCTCCTTGCGGCAAATCCCCAATGGGAGGACAAACGTCTGATAATCCCCGATCGTGCCACAACACCACTCCTGGGACTTCAGCGTCGCGAGTCAACGCGACTGTTGCGTCCTGACACTTCGAACCGTGCCAGAACATCATTCCTGGGACCTCAACACCGCAAATCAACATGACCGTTGGGTTCCGACAGTCCTGGATCTTGCCAGGACATCCCTGGGAGTTCGACCACGCGAATCCTTGAATGTGTTGCCAACTTTCAAAACGAATGAGCGCGGCGCTACGACAAGAGCCACACATTGAAAAAGACCCGCCCCTCACCCGTGAAACAGTTGCAAATTGTAGAACGACTGTGCTTTACGCTAAGGCGACAGCGACGCTTCGAAAACGACGCGCCACCCATCCGTGTGGTTTCAAAGACGCATGCGCGCGGCGCTGAGGCGAAGGCCATATTTTGAAAATGGTCCACCTTGCCTCCGTGAGTTGTTGGCGTACTTGAAGAACAAATGCGCGCGGCGCGAAGGCGAAAGCCAGAGTTTGCAAACGGCCCGTCGGCCATACATGAAACTGCAGCAACTATCAAGTTTAAGGATCGTAAACGGTGAGGAGGTCTCAGGCGGAACGCCCGCCCCGCCCTGCCGACACGCTTGGGGGGTGCGACAGGGAGGAATTTCTTATAAGTAACAGATATGGAAGACGAGGGTGAGGAGAGAGGACGAAGAAAAGGAGGACCAGTGCAAACCCAAAGTTCATCAACGATCTTGTAGCTAACCTACCCTCCAAGCTCCTTATTCAGAGGGCCCATGCATGTCTTCATTGTCGCTGAGGGAAGGGCCCCGCTAGAAGACAACAGTTTGAAAATTTCGAACTTTGCCAGAACATCATTCCTGTGACTTCAACGCCGCGAATCACAGCGACAGCTGCGTCTTGACGGCCCTGACTCGCGCCAGAACAACATCCCTGGAACTTCAACACCGCGAATCAACGTACATGTTTCGCCGTTACAGTCCGACATCGTGCCAAAACGCCATGCTTGGGACCGTTAACCGTGAAAGCCGTTGAGATTGGTGTCAAGTCTTAGGCCGAATTTGCATGTTGAGGCGAGGGCCACATGCTGAAAAGGAGCCGCTCTCCACCCGCGAAACTCTCGCAACTTCTCCAGATGAAGCCGCGCGGCGCGAGGGAGAGAGATCCACATTTGAAAACCACCCGCGCTCCGCCCGCGAAGCTCCCTTGTGCATTGTGTTGCGACCACTGCGCGCGGCGCGCCACGGTGTGAGAACGGCCCGCCTTCCCTCCGTGAAACTCCCTGGCGGATGTCTAAGACGAGTATGCACGCGGCGCTAAAGGCGAGAGCCGCATGCTGAAAAAAACACCCGCGCTCCACCCGTGAAACGATTGCATGCTCCGTAAACTCATGTACGCGGCGTTCGAGCGACGGCCTCATGTTGGAAACCATCCGCCCTCCCTCCGTGAAATTCCCCAGCTACTCTCAGCTCAAATGGTTGCTGGTGGTGCGGAAGTTTCAGGCGAAAAGCGCGGCCCGCCCTACCGACACGCCGCGGGGTGTGATAGGGAGGAATGGGATATAGGGAGGGTGTATGGAGGAGAATGAGAAGGAGGGGGAGAAGGAGGAGGAGGAGGAGGAGAAGGAGGGAGACGTAAAGACGTAGTAGTAACAAAAAAAAAAGGCAAGAGTAAAGGAGGAGCGAGGGGTAGAGAGGAAGAATTAGGACAGAGGAGGAGAGAGGAGGAGAGACGAACGCAAGGGCAGAAGGGAGGGGGACGGAGGGAGAGGAAGAAGGGAGGAGAAGGAGGGGAGGGAGGAAGGAGAAGGAGGAAGGAGGAAGGGAGGAAGGAGGAAGGGAAAGCCGCGGAGGAAGACGAAAGGAGGAAGGAGGAAGGAGGAAGGAGGAAGGAGGAGGAGGAGGAGGAGAGGAAAGAAGATACGAACGCAGGTGAGGAAGGGCGAGGAGAGAGAGGAGATGAGGGGGAGGGGAGCAGGAGGAGGTGGGACAGGCGGGAGGATGAGTAAGAGGGAGGAGACAGGAGGAGGAGGAGGAGGAAGGCTGAAGGAGGAGAGGGAGGAGGGAGGGAGAGGAGTGAGGAGGAGGAGGAGCCAAAGGAGGACTGGAGGAAAGGATTAGGGAGGAAGAGGAAAGATGAATTAGGAATGAGGGAGGAAGAGGAAAGAGGAGAAGAAGGAGGAAGGAGTAAGGTGGAATGAGGAATGAGGAGGAAGCGGGAGGAAAGGAGGATGAGATGCAGATGGTATGATAATGAGTAGGTATGAGTAATGAGGGAGAGTAAGGGGGAGGAGTATGGTAAGGGAGGAGGAGGAAAAGGCAAGAGGATGAGTTGAGGAGGTGGAGATTCTGGAATGAGCGGACCGGAGGAGAGTTCTAGCGGCAATAGCACGGGCCAACGCCGCCGCAACTACAAACTATTTGACGTCCAGTCCGGGGTGGAGTGCGTTCGGCCGTTTTTCATCCACCTACTCGCGTAACTGAATGCTGGGTAAAAATGACGCGGCCTGCCCTGGGCGGAGTTGGTACATTCACGTAAGCCGCCCAGATGGGGTCGAGTAGATCGCGCTTGCATCGCCGATGCATCTCCGATGCGGCTCGATGTGGAGCCCGGTTTCCTTCACGTTGACGTCGCCGATGCATCGCCTACGTCGCCGATGCATCGGCAATGCGGAGCGATCTTGCGACACCATCTACTCCGACCCCATATGGGAGGCCTCTAGATACACATGACGCGACCAGGCCTGGGCGAGAGATGGATACATATGTGGCCAGATGTCTCTGCCGTTCTTCGGCCGTGTAGGCGAGGCTTCCGCATGCGTATCCAGCGTGTGGCATCCACAGGCTGCACATCTGGATCCAGACACGTGTGCTTCAAGCTTCCTCGTAGCATGAAGGAAACGGGTCCTTGACCCAAGGGCTTTCCTCCCAGACCAGCTTTTCATCCTGAATCGTTCTTCTGACGGGCCCAGGGCTTTGCTAGAGCCCCGATGGCGCGAAGGCGGCGAAAAGCATCGGGACCCGTTTCCCTCGGGACCCCCTCGCTGCATGGCGACTCGTCTTTCTCGGGTTCATCCTCTGCCACCTTCTCCCCATCCTCTGTCTTTGCAGGGTGCGCCTGGGGCAACTTGCGCCCGCGGCGGAGATCGGGGGCGCGGCGAACCGCGAGGGAACTGGCCAGAAGTGGAAAGGAGACTAGAGGCTGCGGCCGGGTCTTGGGCTGAGGTACAGGCCGGCCCGCAACGTCTAAGGGCATGTTTTTTCAGGCCGTCGGCCCGACTGGAAAGGGTCTCCGCGTCTGTCTCATCCGTCTCCCCCATCCTTCCTCGCCTTCCCACCTCATGTGGTGTTAGATTTCAGTACTGGCCGCTTGGGGGCGCGCTAGCGCAGCACTTCTTGCCCCTGTTGCTCGCCAGGGCACTCTCCTGTTCCTCCACTCCTCCTCCTCCTCCTCCCCTCTTGACCGTATTCAGGCACAGGAGGGATTCCTGCTCGTCGCTCCTGCGGAGTTCATGCCGATACTGGCAAAGGGAGCGAACCTGCATGCGATTTCGCTGCAGGACATCATCCCGCCCCCGCCTCCGTCTCCTCACCCCCCCCCTCTCCTCCCCGCCCCCCCCCCCACCCCCCACCCGGCCCGCATGCGCAGCGGGTCCCGCCACCGTGCTTGCGTTGTGGGTCGGAGTCCTCGGGGATGGTCATTCGGGTCTCTTCGGAGCGCTCTCGGGGGCCTCTGGAGGGCAGTCTTGGGACCTCTTGGGAGCCTCTGAAGGGCCTCTTGGGAGCCTCTTAGGGGGCCTTTCGGGGCTTCCTGGGGGCCTCGCAGGGCCGAGGTCTCGAACTGTCCGCTCCAGTCCCCCGTTTGGGCCGCCGCCTCTTGGAGCCGTCTTGGGGGCCTCTTGGGCCGTCTTGGAGGCCACTTGGGCCGCCCTCGGGCGTCGTGGAGCGTTGGAAACCGAAAGTGGCGAAAAGATTTAGATCTTCAAAGTACATGGAAGGAAAATAATTCGGGCCTCTTGGGACCCTTACTGAGTGTCCTATTCAAGCGCTCTTGGGGCCTCTTGGGGGCCCCGGTACAGTTGGGAATCTGAAGCCCCAAGAATCGTAGAATACCCCAGTGCTGAGTGCAGAGAATAGTCCACTCTGCAGGATCTGAGGGCACCCCACTGAGAATAGTCCACTCTGCAGGATCTGAGGGCACCCCACTTCGTGCCTCGAGGCACGGTGGCGAACCTACGGCAACTGTTCGTGCATATCCTTCTGGTGAAGATTGTTGTCCTCATGATGATGCTAGTCAAGGACAAAGGTCATGCCGGCCCGTGGCACGGCGGTCATTACCCATATTCTTTCGGCGGGGCTGCTACCGCAGCTCCTTCTCGCGTTTGGCCCGATTGGGTGGCTCGTTTCGCGATTCCGAACCCTCCTGATACCAGTCACGCCACGGCTGCTCGACCACATGGGCGCTTGGAGACTCTGAGGCAGAAGCGGCGCGGCGCACGCGTGCGGTTTGCCCCCTTCGCTACGCATGGCGCTGTATGAGTTGATTGCGTCTCACCGCATTCTTTTCTGGACCTGGGTTTTAGGGTTGATGATTCTCAGAATGTTTGTTAGCCCAATGTATATTTGCACCCTTCAGTTCCGCCGACAGCACGCTTCCTGTATCGACCCTCAACACCGCCTGGGAGCTCCAGTGCGCAGGCACACGATGGTGCGAACACGCGTTCTGAGGATCATCGAGAGTGCCCAGGTCGGCCAATCCATGCTCCATGCTTCTACCCCCCACCCCCGCGTCCTTCGTCTCCTTCCCTCTGGGCCTCCTAGATGGGGTCGGAGTAGATGGGGTCGGAGGATCGCGCCGCATCGCCGATGCAGGCTCGATGAGGGGTCCGATTTCGTCCACGCCGACGTCGCCGATGCATCGCCGATGCATCACCGATACATCGGCGATGTATTGACGATGCAGCGCGATCCTTCGACCCCATCTACTCGGACCCCGTCTAGGAGGCCTCTATTCCCCCATCCTCTATTCCCCCATCCT